AGAAAACGCTAGTTAGGGCCACAGAATTCAGTGCCAGAGAATTACTACTCAGGGACAGACAGAATTGTTACGGAGTGCCAGAGAATTGTTACTTAGGGCCACAGAAACTTTACTTAGGGCCACAGAATTTTTACTCAGGGACAGACAGAATTGTTACTGAGTGCCAGAGAATTGTTACTCAGGGACAGACAGAATTGTTACGGAGTGCCAGAGAATTGTTACTCAGGGCCACAGAAACTGTTACTTAGGGCCACAGAATTTTTACTCAGGGACAGACAGAAATTGTTACTGAGTGCCAGACAGAATTGTTACTCAGGGACAGACAGAATTGTTACGGTGCAGTGCCAGAGAATTGTTACTCAGGGACAGACAGAATTGTTACTGAGTGCCAGAGAATTGTTACTTAGGGCCACAGAAACTTTAATTAGGGCCACAGAATTTTTACTCAGGGACAGACAGAATTGTTACTGAGTGCCAGAGAATTGTTACTCAGGGACAGACACAGAATTGTTACCGAGTGCCAGAGAATTGTTACTCAGGGACAGACAGAATTGTTACTGAGTGCCAGAGAATTGTTACTTAGGGCCACAGAAACTTTAATTAGGGCCACAGAATTTTTACTCAGGGACAGACAGAATTGTTACTGAGTGCCAGAGAATTGTTACTCAGGGACAGACAGAATTGTTACGGAGTGCCAGAGAATTGTTACTCAGGGCCACAGAAACTTTACTTAGGGCCAGAGAATTTTTACTCAGGGACAGACAGAATTGTTACTGAGTGCCAGAGAATTGTTACTCAGGGACAGACAGAATTGTTACTGAGTGCCAGATAATTGTTACTCAGGGCCCAGACACAGAAACTTTACTTAGGGCCACAGAATTTTTTTACAGAATTGTTACTCAGGGACAGACAGAATTGTTACTGAGTGCCAGAGAATTGTTACTCAGGGACAGACAGAATTGTTACTGAGTGCCAGAGAATTGTTACTTAGGGCCACAGAAACTTTACTTAGGGCCACAGAATTGTTACTCGCACAGACACAGAATTGTTACTCGCACAGACACAGAATTGTTACTGAGGGCCACAGAACTGTTACTTGGGGCCACAGAAACGTTAATCAGGGACACAGAATTGTTACTGAGGGCCACAGAACTGTTACTTAGGGCCACAGAATTGTTACTCGCACAGACACAGAATTGTTTACTCAGGGACACAGAATTGTTACTCAGGGACACATAATCGTTTAATTAAAGAGTATGTCAGACAACATGCAGAGAGTGGCAGAGTGGCAGAGGAGGCAATGTTTTAGGGAGCGAGCAGACGTGGCAGCAGAGGAAGGGGTCGAGGCAGCACTATTCGCAGCCATGAGGCCAGTGCTCCCGGTGTCATCCAGCGGTCGTGTCTCCACCGACAACCCTGCCGTCGTCGATTGGTTGGCTCGGTCGTCTTCCTCTTCCCAGGTCACCTCTGACACCTACAGCCAACGGTCGGTGGGTACGTCAGACACAACCGTTAGTTGGCATGGCCCGGGACCAAGCCCACTGAAATCACGTGTCCTCTACCTGCCCCTGTCCTTTTTGGTGTTCCCTCACCAAGCGAAGTATCGCATGCTGTGGGCTCAGCCCCACTGTACAGTGAGGAAGAGCTAAACAGAGGGCGGGAAGGAACGGGGGGAGACATCCGCCTTTTCAGCAGCCAGGAAGAAGAAGTAGTGGCGAGGAGAGTGGCTCGGTAGCCGGTCTAGAGACAGGTCTGTCTCCTGACCCAGACGCGCAGCCGAGGGGGGCTAGTAGTGAGGCGGAGACCCTACTTGATGATGATGAGGAGGTTGATCGCACACTTGGCAGCCTCGTCGTCATCAGGCAATTTCTTCCGCATCATCAGGAGAAGAGAGGGTGGCAGCTTGGCAGCGAGCAAAACAGTCGGTGGGTTGCCCAGGAGACAGCAGCAGGGTCGGGCGCAGCAGTGTCAGTGGAGCCAAACGGCCACGGACGGGAGTAGAGCACCAGCTCCACTGCAGCCTACCACCACGGCCAGTAGTGGTGCCGGTGTGCACGGAGGAGGGAGAAGCAGCAGTCAGCCAGTGAGGGTGAGGAGTATCGGGGGCAAAGTTTCCTACTCGGCGGATTGTGGCAATTTTTCAACCGGTTGTCAAGCACCGTCGTCACGTTCCGCCCGAGGAAGTAAACGTAGCCGTATGTCGACAATTATGTGGCCAGAAAGAACAGAAAAGTCAAGCGTGGCCAGGGGGGCCCATGTTGGGACTACAGCGTTGCGGCAGCATATGCAGCATATGCAGCAGTCGCCATTTGGTGGGCCTGCGGGGAAAAACCGTGATAAAGGAACTGACTGGTACGGCGGTTCTGCCCGCCCCCGTCCCCCGCTCCATCATCACCCGCTCCGTTACTTGCTCCGTCACCGACGTCAATCGCCCTCCATCAGCCAGTCAAGGCTCCAACACCTCTGCTGAGGGGAGTTGTCGCTCGTTGGCATCTTCCGCTCGTTCAGATGCTCCTTCTCCCTGCTACTCCTCTTCACGGATTCCGTCAGCAGTCTTTCTTGGAATCCGTTTCCAAGAGACAACAGTTTGCGAGCACGCATCACGCGCACCCGACGGGTGCAAAAGCTGAACGTCCTCCTGTCCAAGTTGCTGGTGTGCTGCAGCAGTCCCTCCCTTTCCAAGTGGTGGACTCAGCACCCTTTTCCGAGAAATGATGGCTTGTGCCGCGCCGCGGTGGAGAGTGCCAAGCCGTCATTTCTTCGCCAAAAAGGCAGTGCCCAGCCCTGCATTCACATGTAGAAGACATGGTGGGCCAGTCTTTGAGCATGTCGGTCTCTGCCAAAGTGCACGGCAGCGCCGACGTGTGGAGCTGTAACTATGGTCAGGGACAGTACATGTCATTTACGGCCCACTGGGTGAACGTGGTGCCGTCACAGCCGCACCAGCAACTTGGACAGGTCACGCCGCTTTTGCCTCCACGTTTGCACGTCGTCCTTGGTCCGGCAAAGATTCGCCCGCCTCTCTACCACCTCTTCTTTCCGTCCGCCGTGTCCTCAGCCGCCACCCCCCGTGCCAAGTCCCATTACCGACCGGCATATCACATGTGCAGGGCGCAACGGTGTCACGCTGTGCTGCACCTGGTATGCCTTGGCGAACGTAGTCACACAGGGGAGGAACTTCTGAGTGAGTGTAATGAACAGAGAAATCGACAGAGATGGCTGTCTCCGCGCAAACTGAAAATCGGAACCATGTTGACCGACAACGGACGGACAACGGAAAGAACATGGTGTCTGCTCTGCGTCAAGGAAGGTTGTGCCATGCGCCATGCATGGCTCACGTGTTCAATCTGGTTGTCAAGCGGTTCCTAAAATCCACCATCCCACTGCAAGACATCCTTAAAATGTCACGTAAACTTTGCATGCATTTCAGCCATTCCTACACCGCAAAGCACACCCTCCTTGAGCTGCAGCGGCAGAACGGGAATTCCACAGCATCGCCTGATCTGCGACGTTGCAACAAGGTGGAATTCAACCCTACACATTTTAGACCGCCTTTACGAACAGCGAAAGGCCATCACCGATTTCCTGATGTTACAAGCGGGATAAAGGTACTCCCCTGTGTAACTTCGATGTCAGCCATTGGCAGCTCATGCGTGACACCTGCCGCTTGCTCAGGCCCTTTGAGGAGGCCACGCTATTCGTGAGTCGGCAGGACTATGGGATGAACGACGTCATTCCTCTGTTGCACGTCCTGGAACAAATGCTGTTAACAAATGGCTGGTCAGGGTGCGGTAGACGTGGCGCGCACAGATCTCAACGCCACATGACCCCTGTGGGGGCAGGACAGGAAGAGAGAGGAGGAGGTAGAGGAGGACATTTGTGCTCAGGAATTATTGAGTGAAATGGGTGGGTGGTTTCCACTCAGCGGACAGGCGGACAGGAGAGGAGGAGCAGGAGCATCTGGTAGAGGAGGAGGAGGAGGAGGAGACAGAGGACCCAGACGCACCGTGGCAGTATGCTGTGGAGATGGAGGCAGGGAGTCCCTCGCATTCCTTGGCACAAATGGCCCATAGCATGCTCGGGTTGCTTGCGTAGCGACAGCCGAATAATAACCATCAGACAGAGGGATGACTTTTGGCTGTGTCCACCTTGTTGGACCCTCGCTACCGTTCCAAAATGGTGGCCTTTTTCACACCTGCTGAGAGGGAGGCCAAAATAACGTACTATAAAAACCACCTATGTAGTCAGTTGGTCTCTGCCTTTGTGCGCCAACGTCCATCCTCAGACACTGTGGGCCCTGTGCGCTCGCGTTCCGCTGCCATGGCAGCAGGGGAGGGGAGGGGTGGGGGTGGTAGGAGCAGTGGCAGCTCCACCAGCAGCAGGCTGCCTCAGTCTGCAGTCGATGATGAGTAGCTTTCTTCACCAGCGCAGTGAGGAAACTACTAACCAACCAGTGCCAGCAGCAGCAGCAGCAGCATCAGGTGGACCTGGAGCAGGACCTCAAACAACAGGCTTGTGGTGGACTACTTGGACAGCACCCTGCCAACCGAGGTAGACAATCCCCTTGACTACTGGGCAACGAAACTTGACCTTTGGCCCCAACTAGCTGAATTTGCCCTTGAAAGGCTGTCATGCCCGGCCAGTAGCGTGGCATCGGAGGCGCAGGATGTGCAGCGGAGGAGTCGCGACTGTTTAGTGCGGCAGGAGGTATTGTAAACTCCGCGGAGGACACGATGTCCACCCAAAGTGTGGAGAGACTCACGTTTTGTGAAAATGAATCAGGCTGGTGTGGATTAGTCTGGATTTCAAACCACCAGTTCCTGACACAACTGACTAAATCCGCCATGAATCATGCCTCAAAAATGTGCCACTTTGAGGTCTCCTCACACACTGCTGGTGTGTAGAATTTTTTTGACATAGGGTGCTGGCAGATTACGGGCTCCTCCCATAGCTGCTGCCAGGCCCCTAATCTGCCATAGGGCCCCCTATATACCGCCTCCTCATGCTGCTGCCAGGTCCAGAGTCTCTCATGGGTCCCTGTACGGCCTCCCATTGCTGCTGTCTCCATCGCCACACTCTGCCATGTGCCACTTTCAGGTCTCCTCACACACTGCTGGGTGTGTAGAATTTTTTGACATAGGGTGCTGGCAGATTACGGGCCTCCCATAGCTGCTGCCAGGCCCCTAATCTGCCATGGGCCCCTATATACCGCCTCTCTCATGCTGCTGCAGGTCCAGAGTCTGTCATGGGTCCCTGTAGGCCTCCCATTGCTGCTGTCTCCATCGCCACACTCTGCCATGTGCCACTTTCAGGTCTCCTCACACACTGCTGGTGTGTTATTAGGGTGAATAGCCATTTTTTGACATTAGGGTGCTGGCAGATTATGGGCCTCCTATAGCTGCTGCCAGGCCCCTCTAATCTGCCATAGGCCCCTATATTATACCGCTTTCCTCATGCTGCTGCCAGGTCCAGAGAGTCTCTCATGGGTCCCTGTACGGGCCTCCCATTGCTGCTGTCTCCATCGCCACACTCTGCTGCCATGTGCCACTTTCAGGGTCTCCTCACACACTGCTGGCTGTGTGTAGAATTTTTTGACATAGGGTGCTGGCAGATTACGGGCCTCCCATAGCTGCTGCTGCCAGGCCCCTAATCTGCCATAGGCCCTATATACCGCCTCCTCATGCTGCTGCCAGGTCCAGAGTCTGTCATGGGTCCCTGTACGGCCTCCCATTGCTGCTGTCTCCATCGCCACACTCTGCCATGTGCCACTTTCAGGTCTCCTCACACACTGCTGGTGTGTGAATTTTTTTGACATAGGGTGCTGGCAGATTATGGGCCTCCCATAGCTGCTGCCAGGCCCCTAATCTGCCATGGGCCCCCTATATATACCGCCTCCTCATGCTGCTGCCAGGTCCAGAGTCTCTCATGCCATGTGCCACTGTACAGGGCCTCCATTGCTGCTGTCTGTCTCCATCGCCACACTCTGCCATGTGCCACTTTCAGGTCTATTACCACACACTGCTGGTGTGTAGGAATTTTTTGACATAGGGTGCTGTACAGATTACAGGGCCTCCCATAGCTGCTGTCTCATCGCCACATCTGCCATGGCCCCACTTTCAGGTCTCCTCATGCTGCTGTCCAGGGTTTTTCATGGGTCCCTGGTGTCCTTTGTGAGCTGCTGCCAGGCCCTAATCTGCCATTGGGGCCTCTATAGCTGCCTCACTCATCTGCCAGGTCTGCGCATGGGCCTGTTCACCATTCTCCTCACACATCGCCAACTGCACTTTCAGGTCTCCTGTAGAATTTTTTGACATAGGGTGCTGGCAGATTTATGGGCCTCCCATAGCTGCTGCCAGGCCCCTAATCTGCCATAGGCCCCTATATACCGCTCCTCATGCTGCTGCCACAGTGCCAGGTCCAGAGTCTGTCTCTGGGTCCCTGTACGGCCTCCCATTGCTGCTGTCTCCATCGCCACACTCTGCCATGTGCCACTTTCAGGTCTCCTCACACACTGCTGTGTGTTTAGAATTTTTTGACATAGGGTGCTGGCAGATTACGGGCCTCTCCCATAGCTGCTGCCAGGCCCCTAATCTGCCATAGGCCCCCTATACCGCCTCCTTCCTGCTGCTGCCTGCCAGGTCCTGAGTCTCTGCCATCAGGGTCCCTGTACGGCCTCCCAGGGTGCTCCCCACTGCTGCTGTCTCCCATCGCCCACACTCCGCCATGTTCCTTTCAGGTCTTCCTCACACTGCTGAGTGTGTAATTCATGCCCATGTGCCCTTACAGGCCCTCTCTTCATGCTGGTGTGTTCTGCTTGCCAGGGAGGGGATTATGGGCCTCCTGGTGGCCCTGCTGCCAGGCCCCTAATCTGCCATGGGCCCTATATATACCGCCTCCCTCATGCTGCTGCCAGGTCCAGAGTCTGTCATGGGTCCCTGTACGGCCTCCCATTGCTGCTGTCTCCATCGCCACACTCTGCCATGTGCCACTTTCAGGTCTCCTCACACACTGCTGGTGTGTAGAATTTTTTGACATAGGGTGCTGGCAGATTACGGGCCTCCCATAGCTGCTGCCAGGCCCCTAATCTGCCATAGGCCCCTATATACCGCCCCTCCTCATGCTGCTGCCAGGTCCAGAGTCTCTCATGGGTCCCTGTACGGCCTCCCATTGCTGCTGTCTCCATCGCCACACTCTGCCATGTGCCACTTTCAGGTCTCCTCACACACTGCTGGTGTGTAGAATTTTTTGACATAGGGTGCTGGCAGATTACGGGCCTCCATAGCTATAGCTGCTGCCAGGCCCCTAATCTGCCATGGGCCCCTATATACCGCCTCCTCATGCTGCTGCCAGGTCCAGAGTCTGTCATGGGTCCCTGTACGGCCTCCCATTGCTGCTGTCTCTCCATCGCCACACTCTGCCATGTGCCACTTTCAGGTCTCCTCACACACTGCTGCTGGTGTGTGTAGAATTTTTTGACATAGGGTGCTGGCAGATTTCGGGCCCTCCATAGCTGCTGCCAGGCCCCTAATCTGCCATAGGGCCCCCTATATACCGCCTCCTCATGCTGCTGCCAGGTCCAGAGTCTCATGGGTCCCTGTACGGCCTCCCATTGCTGCTGTCTCCATCGCCACACTCTGCCATGTGCCACTTTCAGGTCTCCTCACACACTGCTGGGTGTGTAGAATTTTTTGACATAGGGTGCTGGCAGATTACGGGCCTCCCATAGCTGCTGCCAGGCCCCTTAATCTGCCATGGGCCCCCTATATACCGCTCCTCATGCTGCTGCCAGGTCCAGAGTCTCTCATGGGTCCCTGTACGGCCTCCCATTGCTGCTGTCTCCATCGCCACACTCTGCCATGTGCCACTTTCAGGTCTCCTCACACACTGCTGTGTGTGTTGAATTTTTTGACATAGGGTGCTGGCAGATTACGGGGCCTCCCATAGCTGCTGCCAGGCCCCCCTAATCTGCCATGGGCCCCTATATATTACCGCCTCCTCATGCTGCTGCCTGTCCAGAGTCTGTCATGGGTCCCTGTACGGCCTCCCATTGCTGCTGTCTCCATCGCCACACTCTGCTGCCATGTGCCACTTTCAGGTCTCTCTCACACTGCTGGTGTGTGTAGAATTTTTTGACATAGGGTGCTGGCAGAGATTACGGGGCCTCCATATGCTGCTGCCAGGCCCCTAATCTGCCATAGGCCCCTATATACCGCCTCCTCATGCTGCTGCAGGTCCAGAGTCTCTCATGGGTCCCTGTACGGCCTCCCATTGCTGCTGTGTCTCCATCGCCACACTCTGCCATGTGCCACTTTCAGGTCTCCTCTCACACTGCTGGTGTGTTAGAATTTTTTGACATAGGGTGCTGGCAGATTACGGGCCTCCCATAGCTGCTGCTGCCAGGCCCCTAATCTGCCATAGGCCCCTATATACCGCCTCCTCATGCTGCTGCCAGGTCCAGAGTCCAGAGTCATGGGTCCCTGTACGGCCTCCCATTGCTGCTGTCTCCATCGCCACACTCTGCCATGTGCCACTTTCAGGTCTCCTCACACACTGCTGGTGTGTAGAATTTTTTGACATAGGGTGCTGGCAGATTACGGGCCTCCCATAGCTGCTGCCAGGCCCCTAATCTGCCATAGGCCCCTATACCGCCTCCTCATGCTGCTGCCAGGTCCAGAGTCTCTCAGGTCATGGGTCCCTGTACGGCCTCCCATTGCTGCTGTCTCCATCGCCACACTCTGCCATGTGCCACTTTCAGGTCTCTCTCACACACTGCTGGTGTGTTGAATTTTTTGACATAGGGTGCTGGCAGCTGGCAGATTACGGGCCTCCCATAGCTGCTGCTGCCAGGCCCCTAATCTGCCATGGGCCCCTATACGGGCCTCCTCATGCTCCCAGGCTGCTGCCATGGGTCCCTGTACGGCCTCCCATTGCTGCTGTCTCCATCGCCCACTCTGCCATGGCCCTTTCAGGTCTCCTCCACACTGCATGCTGTGCCAGGTCCAATTTTTTGTCATAGGGTGCTCCAGATTACGGGCCTCCCATTGCTGCCAGGCCCCTAATCTGCCAGGCCCCACATATACTGCCTCCTCATGCTGCCAGGTCCTTTCAGGGTCCCTGTACGGCCTCCTGCTTGTGCTGAATTTTTCGCCACAGGGTGCATGGCAGATTAGGTCTCCCACACACTGCTGGTGTGCTTTTTGACATAGGGTGCTGGCAGATTACGGGCCTCCATAGGCTGCTGCCAGGCCCCTAATGCCATACATGGGCCCCTATATACCGCCTCCTCATGCTGCTGCCAGGTCCAGAGTCTCTCATGGGTCCCTGTACGGCCTCCCATTGCTGCTGTCTCCATCGCCACACTCTGCCATGTGCCACTTTCAGGTCTCTCCTCACACACTGCTGGTGTGTAGAATTTTTTGACATAGGGTGCTGGCAGATTATGGGCCTCCCATAGCTGCTGCCAGGCCCCTAATCTGCCATGGGCCCCTATATACCGCCTCCTCATGCTGCTGCCAGGTCCAGAGTCTCTCATGGGTCCCTGTACGGCCTCCCATTGCTGCTGTCTCCATCGCCACACTCTGCCATGTGCCACTTTCAGGTCTCCTCACACACTGCTGGTGTGTGTGAATTTTTTGACATAGGGTGCTGGCAGATTACGGGCTCCCATAGCTGCTGCCAGGCCCCTAATCTGCCATGGGCCCCTATATACCGCCTCCTCATGCTGCTGCCAGGTCCAGAGTCTGTCATGGGTCCCTGTACGGCCTCCATTGCTGCTGTCTCCATCGCCACACTCTCTGCCATGTGCCACTTTCAGGTCTCCTCACACACTGCTGGTGTGTTAGAATTTTTTGACATAGGGTGCTGGCAGATTACGGGCCTCCCATAGCTGCTGCCAGGCCCCTAATCTGCCATGGGCCCCTATATACCGCCTCCTCATGCTGCTGCCAGGTCCAGAGTCTCTCATGGGTCCCTGTACGGCCTCCCATTGCTGCTGTCTCCATCGCCACACTCTGCCATGTGCCACTTTCAGGTCTCCTCACACTGCTGGTGTGTTGAATTTTTTGACATAGGGTGCTGGCAGATTACGGGCCTCCCATAGCTGCTGCCAGGCCCCTAATCTGCCATAGGCCCCTATATACCGCCTCCTCATGCTGCTGCCAGGTCCAGAGTCTCTCATGGGTCCCTGTACGGCCTCCCATTGCTGCTGTCTCCATCGCCACACTCTGCCATGTGCCACTTTCAGGTCTCCTCACACACTGCTGGTGTGTAGAATTTTTTGACATAGGGTGCTGGCAGATTACGGGGCCTCCCATAGCTGCTGCCAGGCCCCTAATCTGCCATGGGCCCCTATATACCGCTCCTCCTCATGCTGCTGCCAGGTCCACAGTCTGTCATGGGTCCCTGTACGGCCTCCCATTGCTGCTGTCTCCATCGCCACACTCTGCCATGTGCCACTTTCAGGTCTCCTCACACTGCTGGTGTGTAGAATTTTTTGACATAGGGTGCTGGCAGATTACGGGCCTCCCATAGCTGCTGCCAGGCCCCTAATCTGCCATGGGCCCCTATATACCGCCTCCTCATGCTGCTGCCAGGTCCAGAGTCTCTCATGGGTCCCTGTACGGCCTCCCATTGCTGCTGTCTCCATCGCCACACTCTGCCATGTGCCACTTTCAGGTCTCCTCACACACTGCTGTGTGTTAGAATTTTTTGACATAGGGTGCTGGCAGATTTACGGGCCTCCCATAGCTGCTGCCAGGCCCCTAATCTGCCATAGGCCCCTATATACCGCCTCCTCATGCTGCTGCCAGGTCCAGAGTCTGTCATGGGTCCCTGTACGGCCTCCCATTGCTGCTGTCTCCATCGCCACACTCTGCCATGTGCCACTTTCAGGTCTCCTCACACACTGCTGGTGTGTAGAATTTTTTGACATAGGGTGCTGGCAGATTACGGGCCTCCCATAGCTGCTGCCAGGCCCCTAATCTGCCATGGGCCCCTATATACCGCCTCCTCATGCTGCTGCCAGGTCCAGAGTCTGTCATGGGTCCCTGTACGGCCTCCCATTGCTGCTGTCTCCATCGCCACACTCTGCCATGTGCCACTTTCAGGTCTCCTCACACACTGCTGGTGTGTTGAATTTTTTGACATAGGGTGCTGGCAGATTACGGGCCTCCCATAGCTGCTGCCAGGCCCCTAATCTGCCATAGGCCCCTATATACCGCTCCTCATGCTGCTGCCAGGTCCCATGTCCAGAGTCTGTCTCATGGGTCATCCCTGTACGGCCCCCCATTGCTGCTGTCTCCATCGCTGCCAGGTCCACACTCTCATGCCATGTGCCACTTTCAGGTCTCCTCACACTGCTGGTGTGTTGAATTTTTTGACATAGGGTGCTGGCAGATTACGGGCCTCCTTAGCTGCTGCCAGGCCCCTAATCTGCCATAGGCCCCTATATACCGCTTCTCATGCTGCTGCCAGGTCCAGAGTCTCTCATGGGTCCCTGTACGGCCTCCCATTGCTGCTGTCTCCATCGCCACACTCTGCCATGTGCCACTTTCAGGTCTCCTCACACACTGCTGGTGTGTAGAATTTTTTGACATAGGGTGCTGGCAGATTACGGGCCTCCCATAGCTGCTGCCAGGCCCCTAATCTGCCATGGGCCCCTATATACCGCCTCCTCATGCTGCTGCCAGGTCCAGAGTCTCTCATGGGTCCCTGTACGGCCTCCCATTGCTGCTGTCTCCATCGCCACACTCTGCCATGTGCCACTTTCAGGTCTCCTCACACTGCTGGTGTGTTGAATTTTTTGACATAGGGTGCTGGCAGATTACGGGCCTCCTATAGCTGCTGCCAGGCCCCTAATCTGCCATAGGCCCCTATATACCGCCTCCTCATGCTGCTGCCAGGTCCAGAGTCTCTCATGGGTCCCTGTACGGCCTCCCATTGCTGCTGTCTCCATCGCCACACTCTGCCATGTGCCACTTTCAGGTCTCTCTCACACACTGCTGGTGTGTGTAGAATTTTTTGACATAGGGTGCTGGCAGATTACGGGCCTCCCATAGCTGCTGCCAGGCCCCTAATCTGCCATAGGCCCCTATATACCGCCTCCTCATGCTGCTGCCAGGTCCAGAGTCTGTCATGGGTCCCTGTACGGCCTCCCATTGCTGCTGTCTCCATCGCCACACTCTGCCATGTGCCACTTTCAGGTCTCCTCACACACTGCTGGTGTGTAGAATTTTTTGACATAGGGTGCTGGCAGATTACGGGCCTCCCATAGCTGCTGCCAGGCCCCTAATCTGCCATAGGCCCCTATATACCGCCTCCTCCTCATGCTGCTGCCAGGTCCAGAGTCTCTCATGGGTCCCTGTACGGCCTCCCATTGCTGCTGTCTCCATCGCCACACTCTGCCATGTGCCACTTTCAGGTCTCCTCACACACTGCTGGTGTGTTAGAATTTTTTGACATAGGGTGCTGGCAGATTACGGGGGCCTCCCTATAGCTGGCCAGGCCCCTAATCTGCCATAGGCCCCTATATACCGCCTCCTCATGCTGCTGCCAGGTCCAGAGTCTCTCATGGGTCCCTGTACGGCCTCCCATTGCTGCTGTCTCCATCGCCACACTCTGCCATGTGCCACTTTCAGGTCTCTCTCACACTGCTGGTGTGTTGAATTTTTTGACATAGGGTGCTGGCAGATTACGGGCCTCCCATTGCTGCTGCCAGGCCCCACGTAATCTGCCATGGGCCCCCGTACCGACTCCTCATGCTGTGACGTTGCAACAAGGTGGAATTCAACCCTACATATGTTAGACCGCCTTTACGAACAGCGAAAGGCCATCACAGATTCCTGATGTTAAAAGCGGATAAAGGTACTCCCTGTGTAACTTAGATGTCAGCCATTGGCAGCTCATGCGTGACACCTGCGCTTGCTCAGGCCCTTTGAGGAGGCCACGCTATTCGTGAGTCGGCAGGACTATGGGATGAACGACGTCATTCCTCTGTTGCACGTCCTGGAACAAATGCTGTTAACAATGGCTGGTCAGGGTGCGGTAGACGTGGCGCACAGATCTCAACGCCACATGACCCCTGTGGGGGCAGGACAGGAAGAAGAGGAGGAGGTAGAGGAGGACATTGGTGCTCAGGAATTATTGAGTGAAATGGGTGGTTTTTCCACTCAGCGGACAGGAGTGGAGGAGCAGGAGCATCTGGTAGAGGAGGAGGAGGAGGAGGAGACAGAGGACCCAGACGCACCGTGGCAGTATGCTGTGGAGATGGAGGCAGGGAGTCCCTCGCATTCCTTGGCACACAAATGGCCCATAGCATGCTCGCTTGCTTGCGTAGCGACAGCCGAATAATAACCATCAGACAGAGGGATGACTTTTGGCTGTCCACCTTGTTGGACCCTCGCTACCGTTCAAAAATGGTGGCCTTTTTCACACCTGCTGAGAGGGAGGCCAAAATAACGTACTATAAAAACCACCTATGTAGTCAGCTGGTCTCTGCCTGTCTGCGCCAACGTCCATCCTCAGACACTGTGGGCCCTGTGCGCTCGCGTTCCGCTGCCATGGCAGCAGGGGAGGGGTGGGGTGGTAGGTGGTAGGAGCAGTGGCAGCTCCACCAGCAGCGGCTGCCTCAGTCTGCAGTCGATGATGAGTAGCTTTCTTCACCAGCGCAGTGAGGAAACTACTAACCAAGCAGCAGCAGCAGCAGCAGCAGCAGCAGCATCAGGTGGACCTGGAGCAGGACCTCAAACAACAGGCTTAGGCCTACTTGGACAGCACCCTGCCAACCGAGGTAGACAATCCCCTTGACTACTGGGCAACGAAACTTGACCTTTGGCCCCAACTAGCTGAATTTGCCCTTGAAAGGCTGTCATGCCCGGCCAGTAGCGTGGCATCGGAGCGCGTGTTTAGTGCGGCAGGAGGTATTGCAACTCCGCGGAGGACACGACTGTCCACCCAAAGTGTGGAGAGACTGACGTTTGTGAAAATGAATCAGGCGTGGATTAGTCTGGATTTCAAACCACCAGTTCCTGACACAACTGACTAAATCCGCCATGAATCATGCCCCAAACATGTGCCACTTTCAGGTCTCCTCACACTGCTGGTGTGTTCCATTTTTTGTCATAGGGTGCTGGCAGATTACGGGCCTCCCATAGCTGCTGCCAGGCCCCTAATCTGCCATGGGCCCCTATACCGCCTCCTCATGCTGCTGCCAAGTCCAGAGTCTCTCATGGGTCCCTGTACGGCCTCCCATTGCTGCTGTCTCCATCGCCACACTCTGCCATGTGCCACTTTCAGGTCTCTCACACTGCTGGTGTGTAGAATTTTTTGTCATAGGGTGCTGGCAGATTACGGGCCTCCCATAGCTGCTGCCAGGCCCCTAATCTGCCATAGGCCCCTATATACCGCCTCCTCATGCTGCTGCCAGGTCCAGAGTCTTCATGGGTCCCTGTACGGCCTCCCATTGCTGCTGTCTCCATCGCCACACTCTGCCATGTGCCACTTTCAGGTCTCCTCACACTGCTGGTGGGTTCCATTTTTTGTCATAGGGTGCTGGCAGATTACGGGCCTCCCATAGCTGCTGCCAGGCCCCTAATCTGCCATGGGCCCCGTACCGTTGCTGTGCCAGGCCCGCTGTCATGGGCCCCTTGGCTTGTTATTCCGCTCGTTCAGATGCTCCTTCTCCTGCTACTCCTCTTCACGGATTCCGTCAGCAGTCTTTCTTGGAATCCGTTTCCAAGAGACAACAGTTTGCGAGCACGCACCAGACGGTGCAGAAACTGAACGTCCTCCTGTCCAAGTTGCTGCTGCCAGGCTCGTAATCTGTCATGCGCCCCTGTACCGCCTCCTCATGCTGCTGCCAGGTCCAGAGTGTGTCATGGGCCCCCGTACCGACTCCAAATGCTGCTGCCAGGCCCGTAATCTGTCATGGGCCCCTGTACCGCCTCCCCATGCTGCTGCCAGGTCCAGATTGTGTCATGGGTCCCTGTACGGCCTCCCATTGCTGCTGCCAGGCCTGTAATCTGCCATGGGCCCCGTACCGACTCCTCATGCTGCTGCCAGGCCCGTAAT